TTACTACTAGTACTATTATTATTATTATTATTATTATTATTATTATTATTACTACTAGTACTATTACTACTACTACTGTTATTATTATTACTATTGTTATTGTTATTTGTTGTTGCGTTATTGTTATGTATAATTTATACAATTAACCTCTTTATGGTTCGACCTCGGTCTTGTTAGGTTATTTATTACTTTGACACTCCTACACTTGGGAGAAGACATCAATTTTTTTGTCATGTCAGATGATCTTTATGTGATAAATTCAATTTTTGTCTAAATCTTACCTTAAAATACCTATTGACCAATTTTGTGAGATTGAACATATCTCTCACACTATACGTCGTATCAAGCTATAATTTTATAAGAAGATACTAGATATATGAGAATAGTTTTTACTCAAATTAAAGGTCAATCATAGTATGTAAATATATTATTTAAATTGGTCGAAGTTGCAGTTAATATTTTAACAAATTTGTCGACAAAGTGTTCTTTTTTGGCTATTTTCAGCCCAATCAATCTAGACCTATAACAAGTTAATTTTAGAAAGCAAAAGGAGATTAAATGAGGCTTATTTAGGTCCTAAACTTGTGTATGATATTAGCCTACAAAGGTTTCTAATATGGCTTTGATTCATATACTTTGCAAGGATTCCAAGTCCTATATAGACTTGATGTGGCGACATTTAAAGGGGTGTTTCTCTTAGGTTTCTTTTTCTTATTTATCAGTATTCCTAACACATTAAGGAGACTAATATAAGGCAATATAAGGAAGGAAATTCTAGCAATTAAAACAAAATTTTCTAGTTGAATTCCTACACTAAAAGTTCTAGTCAAAACACCATTTAGAAGAGCTTGGAACTATATTAATTAATTCCTAAATTGGGCACATTAGCTTGCAACTCAAAAGAGATCTACTAGGGTTATTTAGAGGAGAGAATATAATGTTTTTGGAGTGATAATCTCAACAACTTGGTGATAACAAACATGAGTTTCTTCCTTTTGGTTAGTTGTGATAAAACATCATTTCTTTGCAAAGACTAAGATTATTCATAAAAATTATTGTATAGTTTAGGTTCTTAGGTTCAAGGTTATTTTTGGGTCCAAGTTTATTCCAATACCTTTAGCTTTTAGGTACATGATTACCTCTAGATCAAGGTTCTATCAGACCTTATTTTCAGCTTTTCCGGGTTGTATTTCAACTTCGTTAAGGATTACTTGACTATATGATTTGAAGGTCTGTATTATGTTGAATTAGTTACCCATGATGGGGAAGCCTATATAAATTATTATGTTAGGAAACTATGATAAAGTGGCCAACACAAAGATGTTAGGGATCCATGATAGGGTAACTCATGCACAAAAGGATATTCTTGATGGAGGACAATTTCTAACTTAAGAATGAACTCAAAGACAAGTTTCTTCCAACTCGAAAAATTAATGCAAAAGTCTTTAATTTTTTTTTAAATGGATAGCTTCCTCAGTTAATTTTATTTCTTCCTATTCTATTTTTCTATTCTTTATTATAATATTTTTCTAATTCTCTTTTTTATTTGAATATAATAGTTTTTTATAGTTTATTTTTTATTTAATAGTATTTGGGTTTTGTACTTTTTTTTTTCTATAAAAAAGAGGTTGTAATAGCCTTTTTTTTTAATGTGGAGACATGAAGAAATAAATTAAGTATTTTAAGATTCTTCTAATATTTAATTTCTTGGTTTTTAAGAATTTTAACTTGTAACAAACTCTTTATTTTGTGTGAACAAAATGTTGCACGTATCGTCTCTTATTATTTAATCTAACTTGTTTTGTATATGCTCATCATTTTTTCAAGCCCTGAGCACAAAAATAAACAAAAAAATTATTTATATGATTTTTGGATAGCTTGTGATATTATTTTTGGTATTTATTAAAGTTTTAATTGCCACTAATTGACGTTGCTACATTGTGATTCAAGTATTAAGGAAATTTCATGAATTGTTTTTTTTTATGTAATATATTGAAATGTTTTTTGTTTGTTCTTGTAACATTCTTCATGATTACATTCAATCATTATTTAGTTTCTCATAAATATTATAATTTTTAGAGTGGAATATATATATATATATATATATGAAATCTTAGATTTAGAAATCTACTAAAATCTCTGCGAGATTCCATGTTTTACACTTTTGTCCTTTCTTTATATAAATCTTAATTTGCTCCTAAGGTTTTTAATTAATTCTCTCATCTCCCGACAATTATCTTACCACTTTATTTTTCACTGTTAACTTTTTTTTTTAATTTTTTAAATCTTAATTTAACTCATTTTATTTCTAGAATAAATTTATTTATTATTTTTAGTTGGGAGTTTACAATATTGTGGCTATATTTTATTTTATGATTAATCATACAACTTTCTAAATATTAGATATGTGAACTATGTATCTTTATCCCATCACATATCACCAACAAATTTATAAATTAATAATTCCAAAAAATATTAAAATATATGACTTCTATAAAATAGTTAGGTTGAAATTTGCTTGGGTGAAAATATATAATATAGTTAGACTTGCGATAACGGGTGATTCTGAGCATTTGTGTGTTTGTATGTCCTAAATAAATTACGTAATGGTATAACAAATGTATTTATAGATCAGTAAGATAGGTTTAAACTAAAAAAAAGATTTGAAAGCGTTAAATCAAAATAACAGGTCAAAAAAACTATATTTTTTTATCCATGTTATTTTTAAATTTTATGATATTTTTTATTAAAATAAACTTTTGGTTCTATCTAAAGCTTTGTAAATCTCAAAAGGCAAACTTAATTATCATTATTTTCAGAAAAAAAATAAAACTTTTCAATTTAGAGGTTTATATTTCCAGCCTCTTTTGTCCATGTAATAATTATTATGTGTTATTTGTTTAATGATTATATAATATCATTATTTTAAAATAGGAAGAAAAGGTCAAAGGCGTATATTATTGTATGATGCCCAGCTCTTCAAGGCAATCTGATCCGAACTTGCAAGAGTTGCTCAATTTAAATAAATTATGTGGGCCGTGATATAATAGAAGGAAAAAAATGTGAACAAGTAGTCTTTCACTATCACGTAATTTTGAAAACAAACATCTATATATATATATATATATATATATATAGGATCACTTCTTGGCGGTCAGGTTGGGCTAAGGGGTCAAGTAGCTGCCCTGACATCGTATTTTATTTTGAATATAAATAAATGTACAATGAGTAAGAGGAGAGGGATAGTTGCCTAATCTTATTCTAGCCCCGAGAGTTTTTGTTCAATAAAATTTCCGTGACGCAGCAGCCACGACACTCAAGAGAAATCACTTGGTTTGAACATCTGTTTATCGTTATCCCTTTGTCTTTTTATCTGAAAACCTTTTGAAGGGATGGAAATAAAACTGATTGAACGAGGAGTTGAGCTCGACTTTAAAAATCCAAGTTATTTCCTTTTCTTTGATTTCCCTCTGCCCAGGATATTTTAATTGAACATCTGTTTATCGTTACCCCTTTGTCTAATAAAAAATAGTTTTTCCTTGTTGTTCCTTACATTTTTGTTTATTCTTTACAATTAATATATATATATTACAATATATTTGTTTTAAAAAATCATCCGAAGCCTGCAAAGCAAAAGTAGATATCGTTAATCAGTGGAGGCGCAAGCAGTGTTGTACTCTGTAAATGTGTTTTAGTCATGGATGAGAGTCAGGAATAAATAAACAAGAAAAGCGAAATCCGATTTAGTTTTTTGTTTGATCAACTTAGGGGCATGGAGACAGGCTTGGATTGCCAAAAACCAAATCATCTAGAAGCTTTAATGCATAAGAACGATCACGAATAAGTTTAGCATGCCTGCCGGTCACCGGCTAGCTAGATGCTACAAATCCTTGATAAGATCGACAATTTACTGTGGAAGTTGGAGGCCACAGATGACAAGTCCACCATGAATTTAGGTGGATCAAAATTATCACGTCTTCATTTGTGTAATGGAGTTTAATATTCTCAATGGGATTTTTTTTTTTAATTTTTAATTTTTAATCCATTTCTCAAACCCAATCAAACTACTCCTACGTGGTAACTTGTTACCAATCCTTTAGCTCTCTTGTGGTCCCAGGAGCTCAAAGTCAAAAATCCCAAACCATAACAGGCCTTTCCTTCTTCAAGACCCAGCAATCCCTCCATATTTAATGTTTCTTCTCTCTCTACCATTGCAGTATGGCGCCACCCCTCTCTCTCTCTGCGTTTTTTGTTTTTTTGTTTTTGGCAGTCGAATGATGATGCTGCTCTCTCCTTTATTAGAGCCCCTTATTCTTTTCTTTGCTTTTGAGCAACCATCAAAATCATTAAACCCGACGAAACCTCAAAACAGTAGCAAGTACTCATGCTAAACAATTCCTGATGACAGCTCACACCCCTTCATTTCTCCAACTCATGGGCCTCAATCATGCCCTCCTCATGGTCTTGCTCCTTCTCTATACTTCGCAGTTTTCTTTTGCACAACCTGTAAGTAATTCTTCAATGCCTTCACCACCAACACCCGATGATCAGAATTCCAAGCAGAATCAGAAATTCAATCCGGCGATGGCAATAATCATGGTGGTTCTTATAAGTGCTTTCTTTTTAATGGGCTTTTTCTCTGTCTACGTCCGACAGTGTGCCGACCGAAGGTTTCGCGGGACTCGCTTTGACCCTGCCGCATTGGCAGGCGCAGGGCGCGGGTCTTGGAGGGGATATCACGGCCTTGAACAGGAGGTCATCGACACCTTCCCTACTTTCCTTTATTCTACAGTCAAAGGTCTTAAAATTGGCGAAGGCTCCCTAGAATGTGCCGTCTGCTTAATCGAGTTCGAAGATGACCAAACGCTGCGTTTGATTCCGAAGTGCAGCCACGTGTTTCATCCTGATTGTATCGACGCCTGGCTCGCCTCCCATGTCACCTGCCCGGTTTGCCGCGCCAATTTGGTTCCAAAACCGGGCGACTTGCCAGTCAATCCGGTTCTTGTTGCTGACCCGAATAATGACTTGGTTGAACCGGATTGCCACGATAATGTCCCTGATGAGACGCAAAATGAAGTTCAAGTTCATATCGGCAATGAAATTACAGGAGAGGGGCGACAACAAATCACGAGATCTCCAAATATGAATTTGTCAAGCCCAGTCAACCAAAGCAGGCCACTTCGATCATGGTCAACAGGTTGGCGGTTAAATGCATTATTTTCGAGTTCAAATTCAATCAACAATTCATTGATTCAATCGGAAGAGAATCGCGAACGATTTACTCTAAGGTTACCGCAAGAGGTTCATAATCAGTTGATAAACTCTCGCTTGAATCGTACAAAGAGTTGCGGGTCATTTTCTAGAGCTATGAGTCCAAGAAGAGGTTACAGGAGCCGAAGTGGAGGTGCTGGAAGAAGCAAGAATTTCTTTTATCATGAACAATTGGACCAAGAAGGAAAACCGGCTGACCGTTGGGGTTTCACGGTGACCCCACCTTTTATATGCAGAACCGGCTCGGTTCCATCAAGAGATGAGAGTAGTAGTGATGGGGTGAATGCTACTCCACCGAAGAATTTCCTGAGGTCTGCAAGGTCTTTTAAATCACCATTTGATCGTTTGTTTCTTGGGATTGACAATAGCAACAGAAACAGCAACAATGATGCTGGTGAACGATCATTTCAGCGGCTGAGGCCGGATAGTCAAGTTTAAATGCCGGTGAATAGTTTTGGGGTGTGTGCTGCCCTCGAGAGTTTTATGTACATATATATTTATATATTTTTTCTTTTTCCTTTTGGCTTTTAGTAGTTTTATGTAAAAAAGATATGTTTGATTTTATGTTTTTTTTGTTTGTAAAAAAGATATGTTTGATTTTATGTTTTAACAACAAAATAATTTGAATTTTTTTAAATTTTTTTTGAGTGTTTTAGATAATTTTAATGTGTTTGTATTAAAAATAATTTTTTAAATAAAAAATATTATTTTAATATAATTTTAAATAATAAATTTTTTTAAAAAATAATCATAACTACAATTAAAAATTTATTTATTTGATTTCTGATGAAACCAGATAGCATATGCTAAGCTTGCTTACACTCTTTGGTTAATGAGGCATCGTTCTGTAGGAACGAAGTCTGCCACGTTTACCATCACGCAGACAACTGCTGGCAAAGCCTTTTAAGCTGGTGAACTACTTGTACGAAAACTAAATAAATGTTTTAACCTTTTCTCATGCAAGTTCATTAATTTGTTGAGATTTGCCGGGACCGAAGGAAAAGCTGGAGATAAAGATTTGCATCCATGATTTTGTCCAAGTCGGTGTCCTCGTTGAAGTCCTTAATCCTCAATCAAGCACGCTGATTGGTACGAAACTAACTAGATGGGGACCTGCCCTAACCCTAAAATGTAGAAATATGAATCAAAGTGCTCTTAGGGTGTTCTTTGGGAACTCAATGGGAATTTAGCAATCGAATGCAAGCTTGATAAGATTAGAGCTATTAGCAATCAGGCTGATAACATTAATTCAAGCTTGATTAATTAACCTTGAAATACTCTCAGGGTGTTCTTTCCGTCATTCTTTAAAAGAGAGATCGCCACCACTGAAGGGAGAGCCACCTTTCCTGCTCCCAGAGGCCATATTGTTTTGGTTGAGCATTACTTGTGAATCAGTTGAAATCAGATGTCATATAAATCTTAATTCCTCTTCGTTATATATATATATATATAATTTCTTTGCACAAATAATTTCGGTTTTTTTTCCTTGTGTTGCACAAATAATCTTTTAGAACTCGCTAAGCGGTCTTATGGTCAATCCAGTTAAAAGGAATTCTTTTTCCCCCCCAAAGCCATCTGCGAGGTTTTCTCACCCTCCTTGAGGTGCCTAGTGGTCCTGAACAATTAAAAATAATCATTCATATGTAAGAAAAGTTTTGAGAGGCCTTTATATATATATATATATATATATATATATATAAAGCAAACTAGTTGACTTGGAAAAAAGAATCTAGGTGAATTTTTTTAACATGTGAATGACTTCATTTCATTGTTTTTTTTCTTATTTTTCTTTTTAATAAATGGCCTGGAAACCAGGTTTGAATGTATAATCTATTTTTGAAAAAGAAAATTTGTCAATTGAAGTTTAATCTAAAATTTTATAGTCGTAGCTTTTACAATTATGATCACTTGTGTATCGAGAGTGATATCCTTATAAAACTTGCATTGTTCCAACCAAATCTTTCCACATTTCAATCTTAACATTATCCCTCGTATACTAAGTCTATCCCTCGTATACTAAGTCAAGGTGATGTGGCTAAGGTTGTTTTAAAAAAGTTGGATAAGATGTTTCTTGTGATGGACAATTTTTGTCATCTTATTATAATATGTTTTAAAATGAGTCAATTGGTATTGAATTCATGTATACTTTATAAACTCAAGCATTTAAAATTATTTCTCTAATAAAATCTACTGTAGGGGTTAGTCCTATGGGACAAACAGGTTGGACACATGGATTATGGCCCACGAGCTGGGATTTTGGAGATGTCCTATTAGGGCTTGAATTTTGTTAATGGAAAAGAGTTATGGTCATTAAATGAGTTGTTGTCGTTGGTTGAGTACCTAGGACTTCCATATATTTTTCCTTTAACTCTTATTCAAGTAGGCTGGTGAGCCTTTCTATGTCCCCTTCAAGGTTTTCCATATCTTTTTTGACGTTCATCCTCCAGACGGGCTTGTTCCTTATTTTTTATTAATTTCTTTTAGAAACTAGTATTATAGGTTTGCTTCAAAGAGGGATCTATATTTCAATCTTTCAAACAAAAACCATTCAAGTTTTCAAAAGAAATAAATATAAGATGCTTGTAGAAAGGTAAATTAAATATGAGGATGTCTTTAAAGGTGACAATAGTCATCATCTATATATTCAGGAATCTGATGTCATCATTGTTGTTTACACTGATGAGAAAATCCATATGCATCTCAATCATTTTGTAATAGCTTAGACTCTTGTCGAATATATGTGATGACCATTTTCCACCTAAAAGTCCTTAAATTCATAATATTACGTGTTAGGTGATATGATCAAAAGATTGCAAATTGTTTTAACGCTTTAATTACTAGGGACTAGTAATAAGCTGGTTTGGGGGTGTGATTAGTACTTAAAAGTGTATTTTTATCATGGTTTTATATCATCATTTTGCACTTGAAGTATCAATAACTCCTTAACTAAAGCATGTTTTATAATAATATATCTAATAATATAAGATACCTTTAATTTATGGTAAATGTTCATTTAAATGCAGGTCTATCAAATAAAATGAAAGGATTGATTGATGAGTTTAAGAACTGAAATTGAAAGGACAAAGAGATGGCCAAACTTAGAAAAAAGATGCTGGTGTAGTCCAAACCGGAACACTGTTTAGTAATTGAGTCATATCTAGAGCTGTAGATCTCGGGTCTACTTTATATCGATAAAAAGGTAAGACATAGGCCTATAACTTTTATGGGGAGCCCAAGAATTAAAAAGGTCATTTTCAAGTTCAAATTATAGCAACAACGAAGAAGTTTGAATCTATCCTATAGCCTGAACATTGTTTAGTGTTTGGCCTATATCTGGAGTTCTAGAAGTCCAAATGACCTCTATTTTTTTTTCTTGGAAAGCTAAGAGATTTTCCATGCATTTAGGCATCTTGGGTTCCATATCAAGATCATGATCTTCCTTTCTCTCTTTGTATTTTTTGTAATGTTTATGCTTTGCTTTCA